ACTATGAACAATAAAATTCTGGTTACCGACTGGGTCATTCCTCATAGCAGGCAAGCTGCTTAGGGGAAGCAGAACAGTACAAAAAATGAAGACCAGTCATTACGGAAAATTCTACTACTGGCGATCACAGTCCCAGGGACTTTTCTTACAGAAACATAAGGAAAATGAAGGCTGCTCATACTACTGATCTTTGAGGAATGGATGGTTGGCAGAGGAAAGCAATGCCAGAGCAGAGCAGCAGCAGCCATATCATAATTGTAATTAAACATTTATTTTGTTATGTATAGCAGTGTCATAGATCAATATTTTTCCTCAAAAATCTTGAGATGAGCTTGTAAGTTTAATTATTAAAAAGAATGATGTTCCTCCTGAATAGGTCAGAGAACTCATATCAAAGCAAGGCATAAAGTACTATCATTTTACTCCCTGCTTATTTACACATTTTCAAATCAGTGCATTGAATACCCCAAACTGAAAATGATAGATTAAAAAGAATTCAGTTACAGCAAAAGTTATCACATTTTCTTAATGTTGTCCAAAAGCAATTTGGTTTTGCTACTTTTAAGGCCTTTATACTCAAGGTCAGACCAGGTAAGAAAATTTCATGCTAAGAGTTTCAAGCTGCCTGCTACGTTTTGTGCTTTTTCTCCCTGCCAAACAGTATCCAAGCATGTTTACTGATTTAACAGAATCTCTTTTCAAAACAGAACTTCCAGAGCATATTTTTAACTAATGAGGTCACAAAAACTTAAGTACAGGATTGTTACAAGAACACACCATAACACATAATCCTAACCCATCTTCACCAGAGCTATTAAAACTCACAAGTTTCAAAACATCTGGTGATATCCTGAATGTCCCAGCTTGTGAAAAATCCAGTATTTTACAGCCTGATTTATGGAAGCCTGATATTTATTCATAAAAAGACGTTTCAGTGAAGCAGTGTCTTCAGAAGGTTTTATTGGTCTTTGCATTGGACACTCTGCAGCATTTCCAGGATATATACCCAAACTCTTGGCCTGCATTATTTCTGATGAAGACAGAGTCAGTAATCTCTCCGCTTATGATGTCTAAATTAGGTTACTATAAATCACAGATTTATGACAAATGAGATAAACATTCCCAAAATACCTTTTGGCAAAATGCTTTTGGACTGCAATTTTGCCAGATTTTTATTTGTCTGCAAAATTGTCAGTCTATAGTGTACAGAGACATCATTTAGGTTCTGTCATACTACCCAAAACTACTCTGATGTGTAGCTCTTTCCATTTGTATAGGTTGTGCATACCAGTCACTCTCCCAACTACTTTTTATTTGAGCTCATGAACTTCCATACAGGCAATCCTTAAAAATCTAATGGCTTTTGGTATAATATTTCTGGAGCTTTGTATTCTGTCACCTACAAGGTAGGTGACAGAATTCTGTAATCCCTAACTTCAAACTGTGTTTGCCCAATTTCAAAGACAGTATTAAAAGAATAGCTATTTACAGGTTAAGATTATCGGATTGGATTTATTTCTACACAAAGTATTTATCTGATTCCTCAAAACATGGTAAAATAAAATTTAAAAACTTCAGTTAGTTTCTGAAGTTGGATTTAACATGTTATCCTATCGCTTTATTACAAGGAGACAATTCCCAGTGGTGCAATGCTACCAGTAAGAGCTACCTAATAAGGATGATGCCCAAATTGGTTGGGACTGCATAAACCAATACTACACAAAACTGTTTTCACTTCTGTATGCTGAAGCTTGCAAGATTTTATAAACCAAATAAAAATTATTTACAGAGAAACAGAAAGAAAATGAATAAGTATACTTTATTTTTATTTTTATAATGTACAGCAGAAAAGAGCAAGTGATGCTGATCTGAGGAAACGATTTCATAGTGTGTCAGACGTATGATTTCTATTAGAAATGCACAAATTATGCCATGCAGTGCTTCCAAAATCACAGAAAAAGTATTATAAAAGTGAAGTCCTGCTGTGTCAAATATGCCACAAAATTTTTGTTCTGATAACAGCTATTTAGGTTAGGGCGTGACTTTTCTCCAATATAGCTGTGCTAGTACAACCCCTAGTGTGGACACAGTTTACTGCCATGAAAGCATTATACTCGTATAACTTATAAAGCTTGTGAAGGAAAAGTATTGAGTAAGGCACTGTTATTTCAGCACAGCTACATCCACAATAGGAGGTCTGAGAGAGAAAAAGAGAGGGCAGTAGGTTATGTTACTTTACAACATACTGGGCCAGATGAACAGATGCAGTTTTTGTATAGAGAAACTGTGTGGTGTATGTCTTTCCCCCTCTCCCTCCATAATCCTAACGTTAATCAGGATCATGATGGATAATATTGCAAAACTCTTATTCAATTTAAATAGTAATGTTGCCCGTTGCTTCTTCATTTTTATTTTAAGAAATATTCATGTCAAATATTAATAACAGGTAGTCACACCAAGGTGTCAATATTTGTTATTGTCCTGAGTAATAAAGATAGGAAAAGAGATGTTTGAATAAAAGAGAATAAGACCAAAGATGCATACTCCCTTTAATTTTTCTAAACATTTTCTAATTTTCTAAATATCAGTGTATGATAAAAATATATCTGTATTTACCTATATATATATGTATCTGATGATCCTAAATTGGGGATTTCTGATCCTAAATGTAGGGATTCCTGCCTCTTCTGACACACCTGAATAACTTTAATCCCTTTTTGAAAGTCAGTACATATAAACTAAAATATGTCTTCAAGACTAAAATTTATCTACAGCACAATTAAAAATACAATCATACCCCAAGAAACAGTAAACCCACTTTCAGTATATCAAAAGACAACCTGAAACATGATTCTTTGCTTTTAAAACAGAAAAATGCACTACTTAATATTGAATTGCAAGAAAACACTAATACATTATTGTCTATTTTTAAAGAATAAATATGTATTTATTATGAACAGATGGTGGCCAAGGAAGGTATCAACTGTCTCTTAGCCAGAAGGTCAGGTCATGGCTGAGAGACCAAAGAACAATTACTGTTTGCTATTCAGTACCATATAGGATGAAACAGTTTAGGTTTTTCTTTAAATACAAAGCTAGATGCGATTGCACTGTTTTAATTTAATTTAAATTAAATAATTTGCAATGACTTATTAATATTTGTTAAAAGTTGATTAAAAAAACCCAAACTAAAACAACAAAACAAAACCCCCAAATGTGTATACATTCTTTTTGGTTGCCTTTTAACATGTTAAATAATATTAGGACCTTTACAGAACTTTTTTGGTTACGAGAACCACAGCTATAAAACATCTGCTAGATACTGAGCCTGAGAATTTCAAAATACTTTATTTTCATTTTTTTGAGGAACCAATAATCATATTTGAACAATATAATTACTTTATATAATTACTGAATTACTCTAATAATCTTCGCTGATAGGAACTCCGCCTCCCATCACTTCATTTAATTATATCACATTATAAATCATCACATTTCAGTGTATTCATTCCCACACTGAATAAAATACCAGTACGTCGATACATGAGGTTAAAATATTTTGTTAAAATTTACAATTTGTTCAAAAGGCAATCCTGAAGCAAGTTGAAGAATAGGATTTAAAATCCAAGATACTTCTTCAAATATCTTATTAAACACATCCTGTTTTATTTGTATGCCAAGATTATGCCAACTCTCTTATCTGTGATATCTGTCAAGACACAGACGACAAGCCTGTTTTTTGTTTTTCAAAGTGTCCTTAGGCCTAAAGGATGCAGGAGTGAAAAAAAAAAAAAAAACCCCAACAAAGCCAACCCTGAAAATGAAATGCTTTAAGGCCCTTTTTCTTTTTTTCTGCACTGTATGATTTTCCATACATATTGAAGAGTTATTTTATCTAATAAGCTTCTCTTTTGGATTTTACATATCTTTTGATTATAATTGGAATTAATATTGCTTCCAGCCTAAACTCGTACTTTATTAATAAACACTATTCTACATGAAGATTTTTGGGAACTGGTAAATAAAATATAATTTTAGAAATACTTCATTTTTCCCTACATATATTCTTACACAGGGACTGATTTGTTCACTTATTTACAAGGAAAAGAATTATTTAAAACCTGTTGGACTGGCTGCTCTAATAAGAAAATGCATTTAAAAAAATTATCCTCATGTGCATCTTATACATCTGTGTATTCAGAAGACATCCACTCTCATGTGCAAAAAGCAACTTATGAAGGAATAACCTAGAGAAAAACGGATAGAACCTCAACAAAAAGGGCACTTCAAAAGATGCAGATTACACCTGTTCAAGCTGTTTGCCAAGTATGTCGCAGGTTACTCTAATAATCTTTCTTACTGCATGGAATGTTTTCTCACAGACTACCTGTAAGGCATATACTGTTTTTTGTATTATTATAAACCACAATTTTAGATAATCAACAGTTAATGCCTAGTGGAATTTTTATATAGTTATTTTCTCTAGAAGGTTATTTTTTGGTTGTTTTGGTTTTTGTTTTTTTTTTTTTTTTAAACTTTTCAATGAATCTCAGCATTCAGTAACCTGGAATCTTTAAAGAAACTGGAAGAGAAATGATTTTTATTTTTGGTATCATTAGGTTATACTCAGAGTCTTTATTGTTTTGTCAGGCTGCATGTATACATAATCATGTGTGGATTTATTTGTGAGAAAAAGTGTATAAACATATGTATACAGTACATACAATTTAAGTACGTTGTAAGAATACATATGATAGAGTAATACCATATGAAAGCATGGGATGACTATTATGTAAAACTGAACATACTAGGGCTGAAAACAAGAATAAGATAACTAAGAGGTATTTATTTAACAGTAATAGCTGGCTTGTTGCCATTAATTTAGAAACCATTTAACAGTAATAAATGACCACTATTAGAAAAACGAATCATTCCAGCTTCCGAAATAACCCTACTTAGGCTTCTAATAACTGCAAAGTTAGAGCAGTATTATCTCTTACCTGGTCCTTAATTTCAAGCTCCCTTATAGTTTTTGTTCTGTACTCTCTGAGCTCCTTTTCTGCCTCATCCTTCTTCATTTTGGTTTGATTCAACTGATAGCGCATTTCTCCACACACCTGTTAGATTATACAGACAACATGATCTGTAGCTTGAAGAATCCATAGCCCAGGGTTTGCAATTAAATCTTTTGGTGCCCTCTAGAGGTCATTTAAATGCAACATATTTTAATTTACAGATATTTTAAGACTACATATGGTAAATGTTTTTATATAAAAAGGTGGATCTGAATTCTCTATATAGTCATTAACTTTGAAATATGCAGTGCTTTCAAGATTCAATTATATTTGGATCAAGATTTTGCTAAGTATAAATATTTATGTTGTAAATATATGTGCTACTAAATACAGTTAAACTACAGTTGCTGGTTTTATATTCTTCTCCCATGCTCTCTAAAATCCCATGAAAGTCTATGTCAACACTTTCAAAACCTAGAAGGATCTATCACACTCCTATATAAGGGCATAGTTTATCTTGCCAATTTTCCACTGTTAAGGAAGAAAATGTTTAAATGTTAATACGATAATTTTCAAAGTTAGATCAGAGCATTACAGACTTACTACAAACTGAAGATAAATTCTTTAAAAAAAATGCCTAATTCAAATATATGCATGGGCCAGAAGAAAGAGTTCAAAGCAACATTTAAAGAAATCTAGTATCACTTCTACAAAGGCAACAATTATTTTCTGCTGTTGGGATGTTCCTTGTATTACCTCCTCATTCCTTTCCACCTGAAGGCAGCTCAACTTCAGAGGGTCTGGGGAGGGGTTAGGGGAAAGAAAGAGAAAGGAAAAACAACCCCACACCAGTCCCTCCCACATAACTTCACCACTGCTGTGCAGGGATGTTATTCTCCCATTTCCCAATCTATGATTTTTAAAGGATTCTATTTGATCTCATCTGTTAGGAATGGAGGATGGCAGACAGCTGTCCCCTTTTTGTTCTTATCTTGTGTGATCACCTCCAATTTGTGCCTGCTCATTTCACCTTAATAAACAAAACAAATACATGCACATTCTCTAGTGAGAACACAAATATGTTTACTCAGTTACTCTTAGAGAACTTTCTTTCCACCTCAACTCTGCTTCCTTGCCCCACTTAACAGTCTTTCACAAGACTTGCTTCCTAAATGTGCACACTAATTTGCTCCTACAGTCCTCTGTGCTTCATAAGAATCTCCTCACACACATTCTACAACCCAAATTAATTTCTATTTTTCAGGCTTATACCTCTTCTCTTTTTCACTACACCCCCCCCCCCCCC